TTAAAACTGCACTGAGATCCCACCTTACCCCAGAAAGAATGGCAGTCATCAAAAAATCTAATAACAACAAACACTGGTGAGGATGTGGGGGAAAAGGAACCCTCTACATTGTTGATGGGAATTTAAAGTAGTACAACTTCTCTGGAAATCAGTGTGAAGATTTCTTAAAAATCTAAAAAGAGAAATTCCATTTTCCCCAGATATCTCCCTTCTAGATGTCTTCCCCCAAAAGTTAAAGTCATCATATTATAGGAATATATGATACTCATATTTATAGCAGCAAATTTGTAATAATTAGATTATGGAAACAATGTAGATGTCAATCAACAGATGAATGGGTAAAGAACATGTGGTATTTACATGCAGTGGAGTACTACTCTGCCATGAAGATGAACTTGCATTCAAAGGCAAATGGTTGCAACTTGAGAATATAATGTTAAGTGAAATAAGTCACACACCAATTTAAATATTACATGATTTCTCTTATATGATAAACTCAAAATATTACACATATAAACAATGAGCAAAATGAAGATAGAGAAGTAAGAAGTAGGGAGAAGTTCTAATAATTCCCCAAATTCTCTATTCTGTTGCTTGAAAAATATTTCAATATATTTGCTAACTTGTTTCATTTATATACTCTTTTCTTTTAGTTCACAGAGAAGAAATTTTGGTGCTATTATTTGTTTGTTTCTGTAAAAGAGAGAGTATTTTTTGTCTATTTCCTGTGGCCTGAGTAACATTTTGGCCATTTTTTTAAGATCTTGGTACACAGTATGTTAACTACTGTTATTCTCTAATTATTTTGTTACGACATTTTGTTTTTTAAATTTTCTTTATTAATATCTACATGTATTTCATTAAAATGTAAGCATATATAACACAAAATTTGTCATTTAACGATTTAAAAAATGTACGATTTAGGGTATGTACTATCACACCACAACACTGTATAGTAATCACTTGTTTCTGTTTCCAAACCTCTTTATCACCCCAAAGAGAAAGTCTGTACCTATCAGGCTCTATCTCCACATTCCCCTCCCAGCTCTCGCTAACTTCTCTTCCACATCTGTGTTTGTGAACTTGGCTCTCTCAGACATTTCAAGTAAGTGGAAATATGGACTACTTGTGTCTAGCTCTTTCATTCAGCATAACGACATGAGCATCTTTCGGGGAGCCATTATTCTATTAATTTCCACACAAAAATGCACAAAAAGTCAGAAAGTTGAGTCTACGCATGCAGGAAGATACAAATAGATGAGTTTGAAAGAAAGCAAACCGCATGTACAAATTTCACCTGGGGCTCTGCCCTGCACACCCTTTTAATTCTGCCCAGGATGCTCTAGGCTGGGTTCCTCAATTTTCCTGTCACCCCATGGCTCTTATGGGTAAGTAATGAGCAGATTTAGCATGGGGCCTTGCTGTTTACATGGCTCAGCAGTCTCGGTGTCAAAGCCATTGTAGGGAAGTTCAAGAAAACAAGAACATGGTCGGTGCATGAAACACAAGCCAGTGCAGGAGGTTTCTATTTGGAGCAAAGGGAAAATAACAAATCAGTAACATTAACGAAACTACATCTCTGGAAACCTTTGAGCTCTTTTGAGAAGTGGTCCGTGGATGCTGCCTTTTTACACCCCTCCCACCTTTTCTTCACTAGTAGAAGTTGTGCTTTCTGTGTATTCCCAGAGGCTATCCTGGCACCCTATAATTATCGGAACCCATAATTGTGTGTTGGGTGGGAAGGTGGACAGAGGGTGAGGACATCCTCGGTGGGAACACAGGATCCAGTGCTGGACTAGCACCAGGGCCGTGACACGTTATTCCCTGCCCAAGGAGTCACAGAACTTGAAAGGACAGGTATTTCCTGTGTTCTAAAAGCCTTCAAAACAAATGTCTATACATTTGACATAGTAATTTCACTCACAGTGATCTAGCCTAAAGAAATCATCAATGAATTCTGTCAGCATTATTTGTAATTGTCAAAAACTAGATACAACCCAAATGTCCAACTAGGAAATAAGTAAATTATGGTATGAAGCACCATGTGTTATTATGCAGCCACTCAACATGCAAATTAACAATTGTTAATAATGTGCGTCATAAAATGTAACAGGAAAAAAAGCAAGATACTGATTGTATAGAAGTGTAAAATGCTGCTGGGGGCAACTGTTGGGTGGACACAGGGCTGATTCTGCTACTCAAGTTCAGCTTCACATTTGCTGGACAAATCAAGACAGGGAAGTATCGGTGGCACTGTTATGGTTTAGATCTGAAATGGCCCCAGATCACTCAAGAGGACTGGATTTGGGGGCATTCTAGCTGTTGTGCATCAGAAAGCTGGGCCAGAAGTCAACGTAGTAGACCTTCAGATCTTCTGGACCTCTCTCTTCGTGCCAGACAAGGGACTAACCTAGAAGTCACAACGAGTGTGATATGTATGGAAAATTTGTCCTTGCAGTGCCAAAAACATGGATTTACCACTCAGATCTTGGTGAGAAGGGAAAGGATGAAGCTAAGGTGGATGAAGGAGAGGTTTAAGTGGATCTCTTCCTCGCCATGAGCGCCACTTTTCTAGGCTCTTATTTTCTAGCTGTGCTGTCCTGTGAGCATTCAAGGGGACTGTCACGCAGACGAACTTGGACTGCTGTTGATCTCATCCTTTATTTAAGCATTTATCATTAATGCAGTAAGAGAATACTGTTTATTTTAATGTGTAATTTATTCTTATCCCGAGAAGATTGGAGGATAGAGCAGTCTAACAGAAGAAGAAAAAGCTGGACCTTTGGAGTAATAATGACAATAGCTTCCATCTACTGAGCTCTGCATTAGTCAGCTTTTTGTTGCTGGGACAAAGTACCTGGTACCTACAATTCAAAGGAGGTTTATTTGGCTCATGATTTCAGAGGTTTCAGTCCATAGTTAGCTGACTCCAAGAAAGAAACATCACAATGGAGAGGTGTGGTGGAGGGAAGCTGCACCTGGAAAGCAGAGAGCAGGAAGAGGCCAGGGACCAGACAGAGTCCCCAAGGTCACACCCGCAGACCCTCCTTTACACACTCAGAAGTGTGCCTTACTAACCCAGGCATCTCTCAAGCCAACCAAGCAGACAGTCGAGACCATCACAAGTTCCTACTATGCAGTAAGGACAGTTCTAGGCACCTGACTTGTGTGCCACCAATCCTGTGGTAATGCTAAGAGATAAGTTCCATCACTGTTTTGCTGTACAGGTGGGGACACAAAGGCCTGTCGAGGTTTAAAAGGATGCAAGGTCACACAGCTGGTGAGTAGGGGTTCCTGCTTGAACTCAGCCTCCTGGGCTCCAGAGCCAAGTTGTCAGTGACGGTGCTGCTCAAACTCCCTGAGCCTTGGGAGCCCACCTGTAAGCAGAGATAAATACATATTCTGCCGAGTTGTCAAGAGGCAGACACTGTACAGTGCCTGGCACACCGCAGGTCCTCAGTCTTGGCTGTCATTATTATCGGTCAGCTCACTGTAACCACATTTGAAGCCTGCCCAGTGGTTCCCCTGAATTAAAACCGGGTGTGGGAGAACAGACTCACTCGGGATCCTCTGGATGGCCCCTCGATGAGTGAGACTTGGAGCCCACGGGGCCTGGCTCCATGATGCTGGGAGGTCATGGGACACTGCCCCGAGCGTGCTTCCTCCTCCGTGATGCTGGGATAGTGATAACACTGCTTCTCTCCCAGGGCTTGTGAGGGTTAAACGAGACCATGGGACCATGACAGACACACATGGAACATGCTCAGTGGATGTGAGCCCTTAGTAAAAGTATGTCTTGCAAAGAAGCCTCTTGGCAATGGTGGGTTGGGGGGTATGAAAGCAGAGCGTGGTGGTGAAGAGTTCCGCCACAGGGGGCGCTATTTCAGCACAGTTTGCACAGGTGATGCCTTGCTTGAAAAGACACTAGAAGAGCGAGTCCGTTCAATACATAATAGAAAGGAGAGTGGCCTGACTCTGAAGCCCTAATTGGAACGATTCTAGTTCCAGGCTCCCTCACAAGGCTTGTCCCTCTGACTGAGTCATAGGACAGGAGAAGAGGCCATGGACTTGAACTGCAGTGATACTTCCCTGCTGCCACCCCTCTCAGCCCTAGGCTGCTATAGGTTGGGGACTGCTGACCAAATCGGAATGTCCTGGATGTAATCCTCATCTGCGTCTGCCTGGAGGGCACTAGGCAGATCCCAGGCCTGGCCCCGAAGAGCATGTTTCAGCATAGCAAGAGCACAGAGCACACGCAGGGAGCTGGGAGGATGCTAGAGAACCTACAGGGTGGCCCAGTGTTGGATGGGCTTGGTGGCTCAGACCACTGTCTTCTACAGGGACCACACAGAGCAGGGGCTGTACCCAGGCACGCGTCGGGAGGAGGGTGGGTGAGCCCCCTTCACAGGGCTTTCTTGTGGCACCCGTCCTAGTAGAGAACCAGAGTCAGAGTTGGCCAAAGCAGTGCATTGTTAGGAGGGCACAGATACACAAGAGATGTCTCAGGAACAGACACTCTGGGGAGTGGCTAGAGCATTCCACACAGGTAGACAGGGTCAGAGCCAGAGCACTGCATGCTGTCCCTTTAGTGAAATACCTGTTGTCTGCCTGAAAACAGAGTCCTGTACTCCTGGGGGCAGCCGGTCAGAGGTGCAGGAGCTGAAGGCCACTGGTAAGCAGATGCATTTCACCTTGGCTTTAAAAGCTCAGCTCAAGGGCACTGGTCTTTGATTTGGCCTACAAGAAGGGCACTGCTTCTGTTGTAAAGCCCTATCCAGGGCTGATGATCTGAGACACCACACGGAGGGGACAGCAGTCTCATGTCCACTAGCCGCCTCGCTCACCTCTCTGTGTGCCTCCTACTGCTCATCAGTACCTAACACCGATCAATGTTATTTGCAGGCTCTGAATTGAATGACAAAGCCAGAAACTCCCCGCCACCTGCTGGGTCTCCAAAGTTCTCAGTGGCATCCTGTCTTTCCGTGTGTTTATCCCTGCAGAGTCTACTCCGCCCCATCTGAGCTGAGCCACCCTGTATGCGAGAGAGTGATGGACAGCCACACCCAGAGAAGCAAGGGAGATGGAGCCTGCAGTGAGGGACTAAGAAGAGAAGCAGGAGGCAGTGTGCAGTGACACCTCGCTTCGTGGATGCTTCCGTCTGTAAACACTTTGCTTTGCAAACAGAACTGACTGGCAAAATTTTGCTTATGTTCTCGAACTCCTCATAGGTGCCAAACATGACCATGGCCATTTTCTGCTCTGACACATGGTCGTGGCTTCCTCTAGTCGAGATCGCAGTCACAGATAGACCTGTGCACACTTGCTGTGAGGCTTTTGTGTGTTTTAGCACATACAGTACTCTACAGTGTTATTCAGTCCAGCATGGCTCCAAAGAAACTGCAGAGGTAAAAAGAGAGTGCAGAGCAATAATGAAGGTAACAAGAAAGTGCAGAGCAAGAATGGCAAGAAGGTTTTGAAGAAATAACCATTGAGTTGAAGGACGCTGTGGACAAGCATGAGCATGGTATCCTTATGACTGATCTGGCCTCAGAGCACACGATGGCGAAGTCCACAGCCTCGACTGTCTTGAAGAATAAAAACACCATCAAAGGAGCTGACGTGGCCAAAGGAGTAATGATGTTAACCAAGTAGAGGACACAAGTGCTGGAAGAGGTGGAAAAGCTTTTGTCAGTGTGGCTGAGTGAGAATCAGCTGGCAGGTGATAGTGTTAGGAAGCTATGGTCTGTGAAAAGCCAGGAAATTGCACAGCGGTCTACTGTAAGAAATCCCTCTACACCTCTACAAGTGCAACAGGTGAGGGATCTAGAGCCTGTAGAGGGTGGTTTGATAAATTCTGCAAGGGAAGTGTCTGTGATAAGACATGGTGAGGCTTCTGGTTCTGACAAGGCCTCCACAGAAGCCTACAGGAAAGAATTCGCAGAACTCATGAAGACAGAAGGATATGTCAAGCAACAAGTGTTTAACTCTGATGAAACAGGGCTTTTGTGGAAGAAGATGCTGAGCAGAACCTATGACATACAGGAGGAAAAGGCACCGCTGGGGCACAAGCCCATGAAGGACAGACTGACCCTTGTGCCTGTGCGAATGCAAGCCCCAATCTGAAGATTAGGCCACTACTGGTGCACCATCCCCAGACCCCTCGGCATTCAAGGGACAGTGTGGACAAGGCCAGGCTGCCTGTCGTGTGGAGGCTAGTGGCGAAGCCTGGGCCACAGGGCAACTGTTTATGGAAGGGCTGCACAAGGTGTTCTCACCCACCATTAAGCAATATCTTTCTGGCAACCAGCTGCCTGAAGGTGCCTCCTTCAGATGGACAGAGCCCGGCAACCTCCAGCCTTGGCAGATGACATGGACGCTGAGTATGACTTTATGACGGTCAAGTTCCTCCCCTACACGACACCTCTTCTGCAGCCTTAGGCCAGCAAATGACCCATAACTTCAAGAAGCTGTGCACAGGGTGCTCTTCACCAGGTGTTTTAATGTCACTGAAGAGACATCCCTGACTGGAAGAATTCCAGAAGAAACATTTCTCCCCACCGCATCAGGCTCCCTGACACAGCCTGAGAAGATGTCACGTACCGGACCTTCAACTCAGCCTGGAGGACACCGGCCAGAACGCGTCACTGGGTGTGACTGTGAAGGGTCTGAGGCACAGGTGTGGAGGGATTGTGCCCACGGGCAAGAGTGTGGGTCTGGACGCCGATGGTGCAGACGTGGAGGGGACCAAAGGAGGAGCTGACGCGGGAAGCACTTGCTGAACCGCTGAGTGAGCAGCAGAAGGCGCCTGCCGAGGAGCCCTGCGCCGAGAGGGGGCTGGGAGGAGGCCGGCAGTGACGTGACAAACTTCACCCTGGAAAATGGAACGAGGGCTGGTTCTTGAGAAGCCCCGCCCCGACATGGCCTCTCAACACAGGCCCTCTCGTTCCCGGGGGTTGCGCAGCACAGGAAAAACACTGACATTAGAGAGATTTCTCCCGTCAACACCGACCCTGCAGCTAAGAGAGAAAGAAGAGGACTCCCCCGACGGAGGTCTCCCCAGTGCCTCATGGAGGGGCCCACCCTCCAAATAATACCCTCCTTCCTGTCCTGCGCGCCAGGAGTCTCCAAGCAAGGTTAGTACTGTACTTTGTTTCATATTTTTGTGGTGAAAAAACCACATATGGGTCAGAATGGATTAACCTTACTGACATTGAACCGTTTGGACTCGGTTTGCGACCAGTCCATGACCAGAATCGTGGAATGAATTAAGTCCGTGAACCGAAGCCCTCTGTTCTCAGTGGGGACAGTGGCAGCTCACGGAATTAGCAAGCCGGGAACAAGTGGAGATCACTGCTCCCTTCGGTGCCCAGCACCAGGAGCGCAGGTAGCACAGTGCTGCCTGTAGGGTAAAAGGATGAAGGCTCCCGGTCTCCTGCATCCCAGTCTCGGGAGCTGGCTGCAGAAGGCTGAAGAGGGAACAGAGAGCCGCAGGCCGGTGAGGGGGGTCCGCTTCTCTCCGTCTTTGTCCGGTGCCGTGTGGATCCGGGGCCCCGGGCAGTTGGTCTTCACAGAGCTGGCCGCAGCAGTTTCCTCAGTACCTTTCGTCTCCCAGGGTGGCTGCCCCTGGGCGTGAGCGCTCCATCCCCCGCCAGGCTGGCTTCTCACAGAGCCTCCTGCACAGAAGGGCCTGGCCCTGGCTGGCGCTCTGTTGCTGACATTCGCGAATTCTTAAGTTTTTATTTAGTAACTTTTTAAATTTTGGTGTTTTTGCTAGTCTTTTACTATAAATAAAAATAGAACCCACATACACATACACAAATTTCCACCGACCAATTTAAGTGTACAATTCAGTGACTGATCACATTCCCAACTTCGGGCACCCGTCCCTGCCATTTCCAAAAGTTTCTGTCGTTGCAGACGGACACTCTGCAGCTGCTGAGTAGTCACTCCTAGTCCCCTTCCGCAGTCCCCAGGAATGTCTGCTGGACCTTCTGCCAGTACGGGTTGCATATTCTGGGTTTTTCATGTAAGCGGACTCATGCCATACCTGTCACTTTGTGTCAGGCTTATCTTTCCTAATCTTTTCAGGGTTCATCCATGCTGTGACACGTCTCAGCATGTCATCCATTTTCATGGTGGAATAATATCCTTTTGTTTTTCCATTTCTGTCCTGATGGACACGGGGGTTGTTTCCACCTTCTTGGCGACTGTGAATAGAGCTGCTAGGAACGTTCATGTGCAAGGACCTGTTCGAGTCCCTGTTTTCAATCCTCTGGGTAGAACCCTAGAAGCAGAGTTGACACCCATGAGGCGTACGGTAACCTTACGCCGAATGTTGGAAGTTCGCAGTTTTTCAACAAGAGGGCCCACGTGCCATTTTCCCCTGGGATCTGCAAGTTCTGTGCTGGTCCTGCCCGTGAGGCTGTTATTGTCAGAGGACATTACAGCCTGGTGAGGTTGTCTCCCTCTGTATGCTTCAACATGTGTCAGCCCTAAGTAGCCAGAAATGAGCCACCCACTCTGCTGGCGTGCACTGAAGTCTGTCTGTCTCCTTGTGGCTTATGTACCTGTACCCGCCACACTGCAGAAGAAGTGTAGTTTACTCAAGAATGTCCTAAATAGCTTCCTTCCATTGGCGTCAGCATTGCTACTATTGCAGAGCCTTCATTAACTGGCTTTACACTTTCACTGCCTTTGCCAATATGATTTTACCACAGCTGGAAACATTTCCCCAGGAAGATAAAGGCTATAAGTAACTTTGTTTTAGGAACTTCCCCAAAACCCTCTTAACTTTTTGATGGATGGCATCACATGGCTGTTAATTCACCTTGCCCTCTCCGCGATCCTGGACTCTTCTATCCATGAGCCTTACCCAATCCTAATCTGCCCCACACTGAATGACCCACCTAAACTAGACTCCTAACCTTCAGGATCTTGAATTTACCTGTCCAATTCTGAGACATGGTCAAGACTGCCATGGTAGTGATCTGTCATTGTCACAAGCTTTGCTTTATCAGCAGGTGACTTGGTAATTTAGAGGAGCCAGCATTAGTAAGCTACAAGCTTCCCTTTCACACTATGCAGCTGCTCCAGTCTTATGTCATTCAATATCCATCTCTCGATCAATCCATCCATCCATCCATCCATCCATCCACTGATTTATCTATTCACTCAACAGATATTCTGACTATATGTTAGGCAGCCTTAGATCCTGGTTTCCATCGTCTTTACAGACTTTGCCCTCTCCTTGCCCCTTATTTACATTCCTACTGCTAGGTGAAGGGGTCAAGAACATGCAACCTAAAATACAACACTTTGTATAAGAATTATTTTGAGCTGAAGGCAACTGAGAAAAAGCACACAAAGGAAAAGCTCTTTGTCATCCCTTTTCTGCCTAAAAACAAGGCATGAATTTCCCTTCAAGAAGGTGAAAAAGCATTTCCCATACCGGGAAGAGGAAGACTCTGAACCCTGGAGATGACTCATCACAGCACAAAGGGGCTCGAGAGCAACCTTACTAAGCAGTCTTTGTCGAGCACACAAGTCCTCATCTTCTTCCCACCCCACCATCCCTAGAAGACCACCCACTCCCTGTCCTGGGTCTAGTCACTCCTAATTTATCGCCCTTTGTTAAAGTGGTATATAGGCCCCTGGATCTGACTATTTCTTTGAGCGCTTCTTTTTTGTGAGTGTCCTTCTCTCCCCTCATGCAAATAGAAATATTAACATCAAATCAAAATTTTCATGCGTGTGCCCCTGTCAATCCTGAATCTGTCAGTTTAATCCACAGGCCTCATAACTGATAGAAGAGGGTAAAGGAAAGGGTTTTTTTCTCTACAGAGGGAACCTGGAGACTAAGAACCACTTTTCCTTGAATTGCTTTGAAAATTGAGCTTCTCATAAATAGGACACACGTGTGTAAATAGTGAATAGTTTCTCTGGTGCGAGAAAATGAAAGTGTAAATAAGGATCAAAATGTATAATAGATAATGTGCAATAGGAAGAAAAGGTCCAAAGGGGAAGGGGAAGTGGGAGGGGAAGGGGAAAGGAAAGAAGGGAATGGAATTAACATGAGAAAAGGAAACAATGGAAACAAAGTCTTTGTAAATAGGGAAGGATGGAGGGGTTGAAGGGAGGGTAGGGGAAGGGGGAAAAATAAGAACCAAGATACGTCATGTAAAGGTGCAAGTTTCCAGTGATGAATGTAACTGTATTGTACACCTAAAATGTACCAATAAACTTAATAAAAAAGAAAGAAAGAAAATTGAGCTTTTCACCAGCAAACATACTGACTGCTCTACTTTTTAAAATCTGGATCTCTAGACTGGATCTTCAGAAGACCAGGCAGCAAGTTGTTATTGGAATGCGATTCTTGTGTCTAATAATGACTGCTCCGCTTGTCAGTGCTGTGCCTGCTTCTTCTAACTGTCCTGCTGCCGCCCTTGTGCAGCTGCTACAGGAACAGAGCCGGACTTGGAAGCCACGAGGTGGCCTGAGCCGCCCAGCTGAGTTGCACCTGCCCAGTGCCCACTTGCTGCAGTGACCCACCCGGGAGGTGCAGGGGAGCTCGAAGAGGGGCATTTCCAGGCTACCTGATCCCAGTGGGAGCGAAGGGGCCCTGCAGGCTTTGCCAGCAAACACGAGCTGCCAAACCGGTTCTTGAGCTGCTCCAGCCACTTCAGGGTGACTGTTCTATGCCTAGGAGTGCACAAATCTGGATGCTCAAACAATTCTCTTATGTTTGGTTTTCTTTTAACTAGAGAAGGTCTTTCACTTTTCTTCCCTTTTTATCTTTTTTTGCAGCTGCTTCTTAGATATGCTCCAGGCCGGCCTGTTTATCTCGCAGGCCTTAGAAGCCATCCCCCGCCCTTTCCATTTGATTACATCTTTCCTCGGTAATGGGGTTTTGACTGGCCTTTTGTATAATGCCAAGCTGCAACGAGACAACACCATTCTCCCCTTATTTTATCGGGTGCTTCTATTTCCCCAGCTGTTGTGTAAGTGTGCATGTTTCTGATTTTGCTCCTGGTCAGGAAAGGAGCCTGGTATACAGGGGGAAGATTGGACGCTGCGGTGAGTCGATTGGTCCTTAAAAGAAATAAGCAGAAGTTGATCACATGCCACAGCTCGAGGCCAATGCAGGGCTGCCTCCCAAGAGGCCAATCAATTTCAATTAAGGAGATTAAAAGTCCTGAGCACAGAGAGGCCTGATCACGTGCTTCTGAATGCCTTGATCCTCCAGCAGCCTGAGAGAAGCCAGTGGCCCCAGAAGCACTGGACTGTGTCATCTGGGTCAGTGTCAAGGTGACAAACAACAAGGAAAGATTACAAAAGGAAAAGGGAATTGAAAGGGTGCAGTGTTTTCCCAGGTGGCTGTGCTGGCGGCTTGGGCGGGGTTTTCTGTCGTATGCAGGACTGACTCAACCCACTAAATATCCAGAGTGACTCTGAGCCCCAGTCACTGTGCTAGCCAACCCCAACCCATGCTGGGAGGCTTTAGGGCCCATGTGCCTGCACCCCCAGGGGACAGACCTGCCCGTAGGACCTCTCGACCTTCCCGCTTCTATTTGCTCCCACGTGCTGAGGAGCCCTGCGGCTCCTGCAGAGCTGATGCTCCTGGCCTGGACCCTGCTCCACTGGGTTCCAGGTCTCAGTGCCAAGGGCAGGCGAGGGCAGAGTTACAGCAGGGGAGAGCAGCCTGCAGAGTGCACGGGCCGACTGAGATCGGGGAAGAAAGGGCTCTTGGTGCTCCCCAGGCCTGGGCGAAACCTGCCTCTGTCTCCTAGGGGCTCTGCCCTGATCTGAGCTTCAGCAAGTGGCCAACTACTGCTTATTTCTTCTTAAAGCAGATTAATACCCGGTGTTGCATCTGAGCCCAGGCAGCCAAGTCGGCTCCGCTTTCTGTGTTTATGAAAGGGGAGCTATCAGCTGGGTCCTTGGGGTCTTGCCAGGCTCACAGGAGGGGATGTGTGTGCACCCTCTGATGCAGGTGGTGGTTATGACTCCGGTGACGCTGGCAGGTAGGAGATGCTCAGCTCCTCAGACTCTGTGATCTGAACGTTTAGGGCCCTCCAGATTGGTATAAGGTGGTGTATTAGGAAGTGGAAGTGGTGAGGAGGAGGTGGTTAGGCCC